TTCTTTCCATCAACTTTGGTGTTAGACAAAGCAACTATGAGAAAGAAGTATCAAGCTGGAGGCATCACATGGCTTGATTTTAAACTATACTACAAAGATATAGTAATTAAAACAGTATGGTACTGATATAAAAATAGACACATAGACCAATGGAACAGAACAAAGAGCCCGGAATTAAAGCCCACATCTGTGGACAATTAATACCTGAAAAGGAAGCCAAGAATGCCCAGGGGAAAAAGGACAGTCTCTTACAAAAATTGTACTGAGAAAATTAGATAAACACATGAATAAAACTGAAATTGAAACTCTATCTTACACTACTCACAAAAATTAACCTGAAGTGGATCAAAGTCCTAAACATAAGATCTGATACCTTAAAACTCTTAGATCAAAAAAATAGGGAAGCATGTACTCGACACTGGTCTCAGCAATGATATGTTGGATATAACATCAAAAGTACAAAACAACAGAAGTAAAAATCAATATATGGGACTATGTCAAACATAAAAGCTTCTGCAATGCAAAAGAAGTAACAAACAAAATGAAAAAGCAACCTACCAAATGGGAGAAGATATTTGTAAACCATATATCCAGGAAGAGGTTAACATCCAAAATATATAAACAGCTCATACAATTCAATATCAAAAACACGAACAACCCAATTAAAGATGGACAGAAGTGCTGAACAGGTATTTTCCCAAACATATACAAATGGTCAACATGAAAGAATGCAAAATATCACTTAATCATCAGAGAAATGCAAATCAAAACCACAATGAGATATCACCACATAAATTCTACAATGGCAAACATATGGTAATATACAAATGCATCAAATCAACATGTTGCTTACCTTAAACTTCCACAGTGCTGTATGTCAAATATTTCAATTACAAATAAAAGACACAGGACACAGGGATAAGGACTAACAGCAAACATTGGTCAAAATTTTAAAAGATTCTGACACACTGAAATATAATGGAAAATATATAACATCTGAATAATATACTCAACCAGAAAGAATTGATCAGTCTTGAAATCTGCAAACATTATAAACAGTGCACATATTTTCTCAAGCTAATATAGAGTATTTAAAAATATGAATCAAATAGCCTGCCATAAAGGAAATCTCATCAAATAGGTAGGAAGGAAGAAAGGAAGGAAGGGAGGGAAGAAAGAGAACGTTCACACCATACTAGCCCCAAATTACAAGCTAATAAAATAAATGATAAAATTAACCATTTTTTTAGAAAAGTGAAAAGATGAAAATATAGACAAAATAATAGACCGAACTAGGAATGAGAAAGATACGCGTTTTTGAAAAAAGAAAAACAACACAAAGACAAACTTTTAAGAAGTGTATAACTCCATGATGATAAATTTGAAAGCATGGATAAAATGTCCACTTTTCTGGCAAATTTTTATCTATCGAATATATTCATCAGGGTAAATGATGTTACCTTCTGTAGCAAGCAATGCAAAACCGCTCGGTGGCTCAAAACAATAAAAATTTGTTTCCTACTCACAGCAAACCGGATATGAGTTGGCTGAGTCCTGGGCAGCTTTTCTTTGGACAGTGACTTCAGCATCCTTCCTCCACTTGCAGCCATCTAGACAAGAAAGAAGATAACCCTGAAAGTCACACAGACCATTTTCAGGCAGTCATGGAAGTAGCACACATCATTTCCATCCACATTCCACTGACCTAACTGTAAGGCCACTAACTGCAAGGGAGGCTGAGCAAAGCAGGCATCCCCTGTTCCCCGAGAGAAAGCCAGCATTACTCTTTCTGCCACATCAGCAGTGACTCGTGATGAAGCAGCCAAGATGGATGAGCTGTAACTATAAACGACCCTCAAATTATTATACAAGAATCTTCTCCCCAAAAGTTCTAGGGGAAATTTCATCTTTTTGGTGAATTCATTCAAATGTCCAAGAAGCAGTTCCCCTCCACACCCTATGAAATGCCAGAATATTAAAAAAAAAAAAAGGAAACTACTCAATGTATTTTACGAAGTGAATTTAACACTGATTACCACTGTGAAAGACAACAGTGTCTCAGCTGTCTTATCTGCAAAGTGGGGGTAACAACAATATTCCCAGGGTTGGAGTTACTGAGAGGATTAAATGAATTATGTAAAATGCTCAAATAATAAAATGACACACTTGGTAAAAACTATGTTTCTATTATTATCCTGCCACAAGTAATAGATCAATAATCTCAATTTAAATAAAATTCCAATTGTAAATAAAGTTATGCTAAACTGTATTCAAGAGCATTGTAAGAAAATTATCTGTGAGAGTAAATTTCTCCTAGGAACATACAGATTTAATATTAGGAAGTCCATTAATAAAATGTATGACATTGATATACAAAATTTAAATGATTCTCTCATTGGGCGCTACAAATTGTGAAA